GTTATTTAGGGTCAATAATTCGTTATGACAGCACGTGTAAGAAAGGCCAATGACAGTGTCAAAAATATTATACACTTTGTCTGGAGACCCCCTAGATTTTGAGGTCCTAGGCTTCTAAGCCTATAGGTAAATCCAGCACTAGGCATACGGGACATATACGAAGTTAAAACTAAATCAATAAATTGCAATGCTTTGTGGTTAGGCTAGAACCTGAGTTTCAATCTACTTAGGTCGGCTATGTTAACAGAAAACTTCGTCAAAGCGACAACAAGACAATACACTGATGTAGTGACATTATTGATCACTGGAACCGGAGTCTCCTTTCTAATAAAGATGGGACAGACGCGGGATGTATGAATCAGCAAATTCGAGATAGCCCCCTCGTGTCTGCTTGAGGCCTGAAACTAATCACTGTTTTGTCTTTGGGCAACCCTAAAGTGTCTTTTCCACATTAGTCCTTCTCGAGCTGTAAAATACACTACACCAAAACAAGATCATTTTCTGGTTATGAGAAGAAAACGCCAACTAAAAACCTACGATCACGGAATATTACTGTCAACGTCCCACCTGATTCGGCCACGGTTCGTAAATCACTTGCTTATGGGATGAAAAAATGTAAAACTTCTTACGCAGGTCTGAGGGTCATTCAAGTATCACATGTAATCAATGTGGGAGAATCCATAGCATTCTGGGAAAATTCTGATAATTCTCCATTCGAGTTAAGTCACGGCTTAAATAGACTGGCTGAGTTGTATAGAAAAAAGAAATCCACAATAAACATATTTTATATATAAATATTCACAATACACACAAACACACACGCTTATATATATATATATATATATATATATATATATATATATATATATATATATATATATATATATATATATATATATATATATATATATATATTCGGTAGTGAATGTGCACTGCTGATGAGTCCCAAATATAGGACGAAACGGCAGTCCAGTGCTTTCTGCATTCTGTTAAGCTTTCTTCTAGACTCGATGAGTTACTTAATTATATATATATATATATATATATATATATATATATATATATATATATATATAGGATTAATACAATTAGAATTTATCACTGTGGATTTTGTATTTTAAAATATATATTATACTCTATTTTCCATAATTCTGCTACAAGTGTTTTCGTGATCTTCAAGCAAATAGTAGATATTTCCATATATAAAAATGAATTTTTGCGTGGTAGTGATTCAAATGTCTTTCTTGGTCTGATGATAAGAGTTTATATTTCAATATAAAAGATATATAAACTTTTATCACCGGTCCAAGAAAGACATCTGAATCACTACCACGGAAAAAAAAAACTCATTTTTATAATATGTGGAAATATCTACTTTTTACCGAAGAAAGGTCATATATATATATATATATATATATATATATATATATATATATATATATATATATATATGGTGGACTCCCTTTGTCGCGGACGAAAAATGAGGGACCAGTAAAAATAAAGAGTGGCTCAACTTCTATGGACATGCATGTGACTCCCGAGGTCTGTTTTGCAAACAGATGTTTACACAGATGGAACATATGCCATATTTCTCTCCAGTGGTCAAAGATCAATATTTGCACGCGGTTGATATCGATCTTCAAGCCGGCCTTGCTCAAACTTTTTGATGAGAAGTAGGTCATGCGCCACCTCCTTCGCTTTGATGGTTCGCTTTCCCAGGAAGAAAAAGGGATATGCCATCGCTTTAAATTATTTTTGACATGAAAGAGTAGCCCTCCAACTAACCTGCTTGTCAAAAGAGGATGCCTTCTACATGCTTTGACTATATATATATATATATATATATATATATACAGACATATACAAGCATATGATTGGTGTATATGGAATGAATTCCAATAACCAACAATTACTATTCTATTTGTAGTGATTTTATAACATATTTATGTTATAAATTTTTAAAATAAATAATTATGTACAGACATATATATATATATATATATATATATATATATATATATATATATATATATATGAAGAAATATAGTTTTAAGGTGTGCTATATTTATGGGATAAAGTGCTCAATATCAGAGATAGAGCGTATGTAAATATAAAAGTGAACATTGAAGTCAACACTCAGAGGCGACAGCCTTTCATGCCAGACGCAATATTTTATATCGCGACACGGAAATTTCTGTTTCTGAATTTAAATCTGTTCCATTATCAAGCGATGTTGGGTAACTTTTTAAATAAAAATTTTTATAATATTATGCTCTACATTGTATCGAGCACCTTTTTTAAAAAAATAAATGGTAAAGAACTGTGGATTCTAAACCTGACTGTTCTTTCTCTTTTATTTGGACATTATATATATATATATATATATATATATATATATATATAATCAACTTGACACCAATAACTAGCACATAAATTAACTTTTTAACTTATAATAAAAATACCGAAAATCTGCAGTCAATTGTTGAAATCCTCTGACGAGTGGACAAAACGATTACAAAGCAGTTCGTCTACGTCGAAGTGCTGAATATAACATCTATCAGCTTAATGGTAAATTTTATTTGCTTTGATTCTCTCTCTCTCTCTCTCTCTCTCTCTATATATATATATATATATATATATATATATATATATATATATATATATATATACAGAAGGAACTTCCTCAGACTTCTTCAGACTAATATTATTATTGATGGAATCAGCTTTACAGATAAAAGGGGCCGAAGATCGTTGTGTGTGGGGGGATAGAAAAAAATAAACTTCTGGTTACAGTTTACATCGAAACGTTTAAGATACAGACACGTTTAGCTTTCCGTTTCAATTTTGACGTCAGATATATCTAGATCTTTAATTGAGATGCATATCTCAGTCAGCTTTGTATCGCTTTTTAAATTAAAAACAATAATTTTGTCGCTATTTTTTAAACTATCCCACCCTGTCTCAGTTGCAGTTGCGCGAGGAAAGGAGAGATGTTGTATATTCCTGGGTGTATATTTACCGTAGTGGTTTCCGATATGAGTAAACTTTCAGTACATTTTCGTCTTAATAAATTGCATTCTTTTCTAATCAAGACTACATTCTTAAAGTCGAAATTAAGGTCAAACCTATTACGATGAACGGCTCATGTTCTGAGTCTATTGTTTTGTAACAAAATCCCTTTTGAGTATATAATCTTTTATTTAAATTCCAACATTCGTATTGGGACAATTTCTGGGAAAAAATGCGCTCTGTTTTGCAGATTAATAAAAATTATAGCAAAAAATGGTAACCCATTCTTGAAACGATTATCCCTTCTCATATTAAAAATTCCGGCAACCTTGTCGAAAGATTAAAATGCATAAATATCAAAGAAAAAGTCATAGCTTTGCTAAATATTAAAAACTTATAAAATAACGTAAAATTAACAAATATTTAAATAAGGTATCTTTAGTGAAATCAAATATTATCAGTTTCGTACCGATAGCCAAATTATATAAATTGTGCAACTTAAGACAGACAAATCGAGTAAAGAAGGTCATGTTTAACGGCTACGCTTCTAGATTATTTCACATTAATTCTGGGTTTCTTCAGGGCTCTATCCTCGGACCTACGTTGTTTCTTCTCTTCATCAACGACTTTCCCGATATCATCAGTTCCCAACTAGGTATTTAAGATAATGACACAACTATTTTCTCCTGTTGTAACAGTAAGTTCAATCGGTAACAATTTTGATAAGAATTTTTATAGAAAAAATTTTGGTTTGACGATGGGATCACCTCTTAGTTGTGTATTAGCATGTTTTTTCTTGGAATTTCCAAAATATTATACCGAAAGAATCAATATCCTTCCGATGATTATTTATTAGTATAGAGAGCAAAACAGTCACATAATCAAGATGTTGATGTTCCACATGTCTTTAAACAAAAGATTAGGAACTATCATTACTGGAAAGAGCGACATGAAAAATGTATTTTCCTGAAAAATTGTTTTATGAATAGCTTTTATAAATTTCAACCGACTGAAGCGCTGGCTGTTCTGTCGATAAGTGCCGAATGTTTCCGCATAAGGAAATGGCTAATGTTACCAAAAGTAACCAGTAATTCAAATAAAATATTTAGGGGCCTTTATTCTAATGATTTAGTCCTAAAATAACTGCAAATATCAGTCCCGAAAAAGTTTTTATTAATGATGATTCCTACTTTTAAATAATTTCAACCCAATCACGGTATTAAAGCCACTAAGACGCAATATCATATTAAACCGCACTGTTAGCAATTTAAAACTAAACGGATATCGAAATTCTAGCAATAAAAATGACGTCATAAATTTTTGCTCACAGCTCAACAGCAAAATAAAACCCGGAATAATTATAGGTTCCTGCATAAATGTACTCAAAACTTGTGACTTTTACTATTTAAATGAAGATAAATACATCGAAAATATATCTAAACTACTGCAATATCCTAATTATTTTAGATATAATGCTAAATGAATGACTTTCAAAATCAAGAACAAAATAATATAACTGGATATAACTAGACACATAATTTTACCTAGCAACTCAATAACGACTACAATTAAAAAGAATTCCTCTATGCTTAATATAAAAATGGTTACAGCTACTTAAAACAATGAGAGATGTAATCAACTCCAAACAAAATAATAACATTTAAACCTGGAGCAGTAATGTAAAAAATATAAGCCAAAAATGTCTCAATAAATACATACGTGAGACATTTACGTTGATTGCTTGCTTCATGGGTTATTTAATGCTGCAATGTAAATATTTTGAGCGCAGTCTTTTTTTTTAATTTTTGGAGATAATAATGGTTACAAGTCTTACTAATTAACCCATATCTAGCGGGAGACGAGGTAGATTTATATTTTCCACAAGGGTATTTGAGCGTAAGTGAACATAACGAACCCAATGGGAATTGGAACTCGGACCTCCGATTAACAATTCCGAGTCATTATCCATTACACCACCGCACATCCAAGGTTACAGAATCTGGTATTCCCAAGCGGTCACCCATCTAGGTACTGGCCAAGTTCGACGTTACTTAACTTCGGTGATCGTACAGGAACCGGGGTTCAACGTGATGCGACCGTAAGGCCGAGACATTTAGGAATTGAAATAAAAATATGAACATAAAATAATTTTAATTAAAAAAAAAAAGAAAAAAAAAGAAGAAGCAAATCCACCCAGGTTATTAATCCTTCATCGTAATAGATCTGGTGATATTTCAACGGTTTAAGTTATTAAGTCGAGAAGGCATAAAAGTGAAATAATTTCGGAATCCTCTATGGTAAAATTATGTCCAGTATCATAGGACATTTCTTTTTCATTCTTTTTTATAATCATTTCACCCCAAGCAAGGTGATAGTACCGCTAAGACGCAAGTGGGTGGAAGAGAATGGGAAAACTCTAATGAAGAGAAAGCAAAAGAACAGAATTCAGGAAGACAGATGACGACGATTGACATTGCACTTAAACTTTTAAAGATTGTAGGTGATAGGGAAGCAAGAAGCCAGAATAGAATTTTACAAGTGAGAAGTGCGAGAAAAGAAACTCTCAGAATAGAACTTACGGTTGCATCTAGCTATTTCAACAGTAGAACGATGAGAACTAGTAACCAAACTAGTCTCACTAGTTACAAAAAAGTCCAAGTAAGCTTCATTACATATGCTATATACTCTTATATGACAAATTTTTTTAAAATAATTTACAAATTAACCTAGCTGGACTGAAAATTAAAATTAATCTCTATCTATAAAAGGCAGGATGTGTGTGTGTGTGTGTGTGTGTGTGTGTGTGTGTGTGTGTGTGTGTGTGTGTGTGTAACGAATGCACGGCCGCAATTTTCGACGGATTTGCACCAAAATTTACATGCTCATGCTCCGAGTTAGTGGGAAGGCCAAGACCGACCTTGCATTTCCCAACTCCCATCGATAGTGGAAATAATCGATTTTTCATTCTTCTACGGCAGTTTTCATGTAGTTTGTGGCCATTTTGTACTGGCTAGAGTAAGAGCCAATAGCTGGCTGCCACGAATAGGCAGGAAGATTCTATTGGCCAGCGTGAGAGCCAACAGCTGACTGACACAAATGTTAACTCGCATGCTAGCATGCAAAAAAATCGATAGCTGCATTCGTCACAAGTGGGAAAAATTTAAATCTGCATGGCACTTTACCCCAATTAGCTCATTCGCTTGCTTAAACTCAACGTTGATTCTGATTCCGCAGAAATGGGTTGGGTGTGAAAAAGTATTTGTTGTTAACATTCTTTTTTCATTCGATTTTTCCAGTTACGAGTCCTTTTTTAAAGCTGATCGTTTTGTGTTCATATTGTTTAGTTCTTTTTTCGTAACAGATTTAATGTTTAGTATAGAGCTTAGAAAAAATTCGCAGTGTGAGATAGGCAAGAAGTAAGGCATGTAGCAACATCAGCACGGCAAAGGGCACTCCTTTAAAGGCAAGGAAGGACAAAAATATTTTACGTCAAGTGATAGCGATTGCTGTATGAGTCGTACGATTTTTTTATCAAGCACGGGCAACGCCGGGTCATGCTGCTGGTATATGAATAAATAAGACTATTTACATTATTCGGACTATTGTCCTCATCTTTGTTGCCATATTTACCACAATGTTTCGGCCGTTGTACGCTCCGGCCTTTTTCAGGTGGTGGGAATGTAGAACTGAACCTTTATTGAACTTAAGGACTCATGTCACAATGGATAAAGGCTTTGGTTAGATCCAGTGACAGGACCCAAAGAGTTGTGAGTTCAATACCTGGTTAAGGCAGTGGAGAACTTGGAGAGGTGAATTAACAGGAGATAACTGATAACTGACATCAATTAGACATGGCACATGGAACTAGAACAGTCTACCCTAGTGAGAAGAACGTTGGGATAAATATGGCAACAAAGTTGAGGACAATAGTCCGAATAATGTAAATAGTGTACGTAATAACTCATCTCAGAAATATAAACAGATACTGATGAATAAATAAATAAAAATAAAATACGCCATGACAGCATGGTGGAAAAGCGATTCTTAGTACTTACAATTGGAACCTTGTGTTAAATCATGCTAACCTCGAATCATTGGTCATTTAGTGGAATGTTGTGGCTGACTTTAACAGAATACGTCTCCATTTCAAAGACCACTGCGTTGTGGTTGGTTAGGCTAGGGGTGGGAAAGGCCAAGCAAGCAAGACGAAGTCACTTTTTTGTGATGGGGGAGAATTCATGCGGTCGAAGCACCAAGGTGGAGAGGTCATTAGAACAACTGCCATGAAAATATTTATAGAAAAGACATACGCAAGCCACGTTAGGGCGGTGAGAAAATGATTGAAGTCAAGATGCCAGGTCAAGACCAATAACATTACAGACTATTCTTCGGATTTTGTCGAGCACACCACACCACACCACATATGGCAGCAATATTCAATGCGGGGACGATTGGTAGATCTATAGATATACAAGATGCAGTCCAACGAGAGAAACTGTCTAGCCCGACACAGTGAACTAACTTTCTTAGCAGCAGACTCAGCAACTGATTCAATATAATCGCTCCACTCCATGTCATTAGAAAATCTGAGCCCTAGAAGACACAGCGAGTTGCTCTCCTGGGGGTTAGTAACAGCCTTTCTGAGAGGGCAAAATAGTTCTCTATGATGATTAAAGGAGAACAGTTTCGTTTTGGAGTCGTTTAAATTCTTGCCCCAGTTAACAACTGATATGAGATCGTTTTCGAGAGGAGCTACCAGTTTTATTTTCTTGGAACGAGCGGACTTAATATTAAGACAGGAGTGAATAGTTGAACTGATATCGAGAAGTTCCTTGATGAAGATATGAAACAACGTAAGTCCACGAATAGAGTCCTGGGAAACCTCCGCCTTAATGTGAAATTATCTAGAAGCGTCATCGTTTAACCCGACCTTCATTTCATTGTTAAGAACGATTAAATCATATATCTGGCCAGAGACAACATGGCGCTTGAGCTTGTGAGGAAGGCCAGCGTGCTGATACAGTGTGGGATAATTAAAGATCATAGCGATAAAAATAAAAACAAACCAAGAATATAAAAAAGAAGCTAAATATGACAGGTGCATCGGATGTCAAAATTTAATCTTAAAACTGACCATATATATATATCTATCTTTAACTCTCTCTGATGTTTATTATATTTCTTTCCCACCCTGACATTTTACCTATAAGACACCATAAAATTGTTGTTAGTCTGAAGATGCTCCTTTCGGAACGAAACGCGTCACTAAGAAGTTTTTTTCGATTTTGTTATTCACTTAACTACTATTTGTCTGATATATATAATTTTAGCTGAAAACTACCCTTGTACGCCAGTACAACATGTATATATTTTATGAAGGCCAAGTATCCATCGAAAAGTCAGTCAGTTAAGTGCCATACAGGAGGCCATACGGGATACACGCTTGGGCGTTCATGTATCTTTCGATACATGACTGACGAGGCAGATTTTTCCCGCAGTAGGTTGCCATTTCTTTCTACGGTAGACTGGTTACCAACCAAGGCTAAATGTTGTAATGGAAATTCCCACACTCCTTATCGCCTATTAGGACTGACTATATCCGTAGCTATATATAGTGAGCACAGGATATACCTAGGGACTTGCTTCGGCAATTAGTTGGAGATTCTAGGCTGGTCGAACTCTCTGCCTTCGGGAGGAGAGGAATCCAGACGAGGCTATGTCGAAGGGCAGAGTCTCATCTGGAGTGGTAGACAGCTACCAGACCCCGTTTTTTACGGGGTCTACGGGGAATTTTTGCCCGAGCCTACGGGGTCGGACACCCCACGTTAAATTCGGCCTTGTGCCACATCTGACCGCGTGGGACCGTTGGTAAATATCCTTGCTTCGGCAACTAGTTGGAGATTCTTCTCCAGCTGTGCTGGTCGAACTCTTTGCCTTCGTGCAGAGAGAATCCTCAGACGAGGCTCTGGTGTGGTAGACAGCTACCCGACCACGTGTATACGGGGTCTACGGGGAATTTTTGCCCGAGCCTACGGATTCGGTTTTTCCACGGATTAAAAACGGCCTTGTGCCACATCCTGCCTCGCGGGGAGGTAAGTTAAATAGCCTTGCTTCGGAAATTAGTTGGAGATTCGTCTCCAGTTGTGCCGGTCAAGCTCTCTGCCTCCGAGCAGAGAGGATCCCCAGTCGAGGCTATGTCGAAGGGCAGAGTCTCTTCTCGGGAACCAACTACCCGATTCCGTTTTATACGGAGAATTTTTGGCCGAGCCTACGGGCTCGGATACCCCATGTTTAATTCGGCCTTGTGCCACATCTGACCGCGTGAGGTGGTTGGTAGATATCCTTGCTTTGGAAATTACTAGCCTACCACCCGATTCCCTGTCTTTCAGTAGTGTATTCTTTTCTACAATAAATCTCTCTTTCTTTCATCTACGTGCGTGTTGCTGTTCCTTCACTCGGGTACCACCTTTGTAACCTCTTTAAGGATGCAACACTAAAGAACCCAGTTTGTCCTGATATTCAACCCATAGAGATGGATTCATACCTTTCCCAAGGGTAAATGAATCTAATGAACTCGGCTCTCCGAGTTATCACTCCAAGCCGATATTCATTATATCACAATGCACATGCACTGAACACGCTAGCCAAAAATGTTGCATTAAAAACAATAAAGAGTGGGACACTAGTCTGAATAACTTATGGAATTACAGAAGTGGATGTGTGTCTTTTACACGCTGCCTGTTTTCGAAATCACACACCTATATCAAACGCAAGATTGGTTTCTGCTTTCCGTCTGGCTTTTAAATCAAAATATTTCTTTATAACGCATTCATGACCTTAATTGAATCAAACTGTTTTGAAAGTTGCTCTCTCGATGCCCTTCAACGTAGAAAATCAAATAAGATAAATCAGTTTTTCAAATTTCACAGGCAAATGCCGAGGTAAACAACTGAGTTTCAAATTAAGTTTATCTGGAATTCGATTACATCTATAGATATTCCGTTTGACATCTTGTAGTTCGTGTGCTGTTTTAAGAGTTTTGCTCTATGTCAAGACTCTCAAAATTGACAATCAACAGTACAACGGTAGGCGGCAAAA